CTTTAAGGTTTCTTCTGTACCAAAATTGCACTTGGATTCATCTATGTCGCTGGACGCGAAAAGTAAGAGCGATGTAGCCAACTGCGTAGTGAGCCAGGGTGTACAATATCATACAGAACCAGTTGAAGTATAGGTTGACAGGACGGAAGCTCAAGTTCTAAAAGCAAGTCTTTTCGCATTTCGAAACTTGAAAGCGTAAATTCCATAGCTCTTTTCCTGGGATTACCTCAATCACTTCTGCTCCGGACTGTTCGCACGATTCAGCCGGTTTTCCATTAGTCATTGTACAGCTTATGTTGTTGTATTTCTCGTAAGTCCACTCGTTGATAATGAACGCTTCGTAGCCAAAGCGAAACCTTCAAAAATACCGAAAATATAAAATAACGCGCGCTCAAAAAGCAGGTGGGCACGATGGCTGGGAAGAGGGGTAGGGGCGGTTGCTGCCAATGTCATTGGTGGAAGGGCTGCGGTTTGGCTGCTCCCAGTCCGCCTTTCCACCTATGATGTTGACAGCTACCGCCACCCCCAGCCACATTGTCTGCTCCCTTTAAAGTGTTTTCTGTAATAGATAGAATATTCCGTACTGACCAGGATAAGTACTGCACCCATCTTATATAGTCCGGAAGCATTGCAACATTTGTAAAGAGACCACCCGTCATCGAATAGATCGTAAGAAGAGGACCTGTAATTGTGACGGCGACCGCGTATGATGGAGACATCTGGAAGTACAGAAGTTTCTTTTCTTCCTTTCGAGCGCTAGGACATCGAAATACCGAGCAGACTGCAACTCCTAGACTTGCCACCATGGCCTCCACGAGTACTCCAGTAATAACGGTACGAACGAATCGTCCAGGAGTTGGTGCAAGACCGATCAACCAGTACGCAATGCTAGTAAGAATCATTCCGTCCATGGAAAAAATTGGCATGTAGGAGAGCACCTTAACACTTCATTCATAGTGAAAGAGAGACTTCACTTCAAAGACTTCAAACGATGGGATGTTGGTCAACTCATTCAAAATGCTACGAACGAGGAGAGAAAGGACTTCAAAATACTATGCCACGATAAGCGACATTCGCATAAGGACCGCACTGATTCGAAGCGGACGTGAAGCATTGTGCTACGTCAAATAGCTAAGGAATATCCTGCTTGTCGCGGCTTGGGTCCCTCAGACTGAACCCCGGTTGGTAAAAAACGAGGGCAGATTCTCTCTTGCATACGCCCATCTAAAACCCTTTCTGATTTGGGGAGAGGGGGGGGGTGCAGTACAATAGCTCTTGCGCACAATATAGGGCCACGCTTTCGCGCGCTGAACAACAATATGGCATTTTTTCCGGTCTACGGACAAGTTGAACCTAACCCCTTTGAATGCGTCGACCTTTCCCTTTTCTCTGCACTCTCTCGGCCGTATAAAGATTACGGTCATTGTGACCTTACACATTGCACCGTTTCACAAATAGTAAGTGGCCCATCACCTCAGAGCCCCTCCCCTGAAGAAGCCATGCCGTGACTCTTCTGATGCTTGCAATTTTCGTCTCAGGGCACTTGTCAACCGGAAGCCTCTCTTCTCTTTCGTTTTTTCTTCTTCCTTCCTTCTTTTCCTTACTTCCTTCTCTAATCCCTCCTCTTTTGTCTTCTTTCTTCAATGCTGGGCCAGTGGATAAAGGATAAAAAGGATAGTCTTCGCCGTTGACAATCCCCTTGTGGGATGCGGCACGCATTCTACTCCTACACTGAATCGTAGTGGCCTTATTGAATGAGAAGGATATGTGGCCTATACGTTGACTACCGGAGCAGCCGATGCATAAGTTGATGCTGTCATCCTCCCGGACGAATCTAGAACCAATTACCGTTTTTGGAGAAATAAAGGCTCAGTTGTCCTGGAAGGGAGTCGACCCGGGATTTGAACCCAAGGCCAGTACATTCCAAGAAAAAATGTCTTTAGACCCTTGCAGCGATAGCATGTCCCCTTGATGAGAGCCCTCCTGCACGTTCCGATGCTTTGCAGCTGCCCTCGGTTTGCTTTGCATGGTTCCGCAATGCAATATGCACAAAAGTCAAGGTGCCAAGTGACCATTTTTCCAATCAGTGGCATATCATTATAATCGGCTCGTTTTGGTGGTAAGAACTATTTTGAAACGATGGGCAAGTGATGGTTATGCCTGTGAATGGGTCCCCAATTCACATAATACGGTCATGACTTTTGTTCCTCGCCAACAACGGTTGCAGTACATTCTATATCCGGGAAATGGAGAAGGGTGAGCTCAGTTTGACCCTGCCGTATTTCTTGGTATATTCTCATTGGAGACATTCCATTGACAAAGACGTTATGACAACGGTCCCTAAAAGAAAATGTGTCACCAACCGCAAAATCGCCGCTAAGTTCAGATGAAGCACGCAACCACGCCTTCCCCAATCCCAGGACATGAAATGTGCGGTAGATTTACTTGTCGAGGACCTCGGCGAATCCCGAGGAATGGCTTCGTTCCGCCTTTACGTCTCTGCCTTGTCTTCTCTGCCTTGACTATGTTCAACAGTTGTGACCGTGCAACCGAAAGGGAGTGTGACGCAGGTGCGTATTGAACAGTCAGAGTAACATTGCTCCAACAATAATGCTATCCTGAGCCCGGGTCAGTCTGCCCTATCTGTGCTCCGCCACGCCGCCGTCCTGCATCTCTATCGGTCGGAGAGATTATAGCGTTCTACGAACAACTAAATCTCAATAATCTCAATACTTTTAATGACACCAACTTTCTGTTTTTCTCCTGCCTCCCACGTCTGATGGCGTTCCATGACCGCTCTGAACTTTCACATCCCACGTTTCTCCGCGCAGTTAGTGGTCCATCCACTCCGGTTTCCACTCCCTTTGAAAAAGTCATCTCCTGGCTTGCGACATCTTTTTTTACCTCTCGATACCTTGGCAATTGCCGTTCTTTATTTCTCTTTGCACTGGCCTTTCGCAGCAGGACCACCACAAAAAGCTTTAGTTGTCATGTAACTGATTATGACTGTGTTGGGAAGAGCCAATCAGGATTTTCCTTGCTATCTCGCGAAATAGAAACAGCTCTGTAGTCGATTCGCCCGCAGCGCAATCGTTCTTGCCAACAAGATACATTGCAACCGACCTTAGCTACGTAGTATGCCAGCACTGGATAGTCACCATTGTGATACTCTCTAACTAGAAGAGGAAATTCTGCTGGCATATAAGTTTGTATTCCATAGATTGTCGGGTAGGTGAGTTCAGAACAGAAGAAGAATAGGATTCCTTTTAAATTAGTGACACCATCCTTAATAGATCACTTCAGTGTGGCAGGTTTGCTCCAACAGCGAAATGATTACCTGATCAGCTGGCGTTTGAAAGTATAAAAAACCCAAGAATAACGCCATGGCCGCTTTTTGCACGAATTTCGCCCTCATCACTGACTTATTGCGAATATTATCCTTAGCATACCTAAAGAACAAAATGCTCACGAAGAATTAAAAAGTTACATGTTTGCAATTGTACTCAGTCAATGAAGAGGGTTATCCTTTGCCTGTTCAATATCCTCAAATGGTTAGTATCCTCCATGACTATCACTACAGAAACTGCATAAGAGCAGACCTCTTTCGAGTTACCGTCAGGGTATGTCATTCTTGGGGAAAGGGGCGGCATTTGGTCGATGGAGGATAGAAGGGGATAGAATACCTTTTGCTGCTTCACAGCCGGCACAAATGTATTATGTTGTCCGGAAAGTTCTCAGCGTTTTGAGTGTTCCACTTCAAACACTTCATGACTTCAAACGATCATAACTTTCTTAATACTCATCGGATTTAATCGAAATAGGCACCGTTCGAATCAGCACACTTTTGCCAATGTGACACCAGTCGATAAATCCCATCAAAGAAAAACTGGGTGGTCGAGAATCCACGAAGGCTTTTTTGCCTGGTCCTGATTGATGAAGTATTTTCCAGCAAGGAAGTTCTGAAAATGTTTGAAAAGGTGATAGTCGGTTGGTGAAAGGTCTGGAGAATATGGCGGGTGAGGTAGAACTTCAACCCCCAATTCGTTCAATTTATGGATAGTGATTTGTGAAACGTGTGGGCGGGCGTTGTCATGCAAAGAATCGGACCCTTTCTGTTGACAAGTGCTGGCTGCAGCTGACGCAATTTTCGGTACATTTCGTCGATTTCTTCACAGTAGGACTCTGCTGTGATGGTTTGGCCTGGTGACAAAAAGTTATAGTGGATCACACCAGCCGATGACCACCACACTGTGACCATGACCTTTTTTGGTGAGATTCGGCTTTGGAAATTGCCTCGGTGGTTGTCCGGAACGTCTCCTGTTATCATACATGATCCACTTTTCATCACAGGTGACAATTCGGTCCAAAAACGGGTCGTTTCTGTTGCGCAAAAGCAGTGAAGAGGAAACCTCGAGACGTGCCAATTTCTGCCGGTCACTCACTTGTGGGGCACCCACTTATCGAGTTTTTTCACCTTCCCAATGCGTTTCAGACCATCTGCAACACTGGATTTGCCAACGCCTAGCTTTTCTGCAATCTCTCGAACTGTTTGGGATGGGTCAGCCTCCACAAACGCCTTCAAATCCTCGTCAGGTATTGCTTTAGGTCGACCGCTACGAGGTTCAAGGCTGAAATCTCCAGAACGAAATTTGTCGAACCATTGCCGCACAGTGCTTTCTCTAGCACTATTGGGCCCCCACACCTGGTTAATTTGTTGAGCGATTGCGGATTGCCCCAATTTATAGTCGAAGAAAAAAATCGTCCGAAGTGCTCTTTTCACATGCTTGAAAAAATCTTGAAAAAAGGGGTTCATCAAGCAATGGTGAAACGGCAGTTATACCATCAGATAGCGCAAAGAATTCTCTTCAGGATGTACTACTGAGACGCAAGGGAGAATGAGTTTTTAATCAGCAATGAATGTACAAAAAATAGTAACACAAAACGCTGAGAACTTTCCGGACAACCTAATCTCTGCCTGAACCGGCAGCTGTCTGCTGATATGCTGCCGCTGCTTACGCTTACAGCAATGTCCATGGACACTATCCCTTTGACGTCGAGATATGGGATCAAGACATTGAGTATGCTTGAATCTAGTCGAAGTCAAGAAGCGGGCAGGTTGATCACAGCATCCTGAGGAGTTGTGATGCTTGTAAGCTCATGAATCAGTGGATCTTTGATTCATTTACCGTAATATGTGGGTCACATGAAACAGACTCCCCATCGGGTTAGTTCTCTGAGGCACATCATCGAGTATGATCCCCTATTCTTCTCTACCGTGCTTATGCGTGCTTATTCTTACAGTCGAAATCCCTGAGATGCGGTAGGCGTGGCTGCGTACTTCGCCCTAACGTAGCGTTGGCTGTGCTTTTGGTGAGACTTTGTCATTCCCAGACAACTGTGATCACGTCTTTCTCCAATACAGAAAGACGACAGTTGTCTCAAGTTGAAATATTTCAGAAGTAACCCAATCTACGTCATGTTCAAATACCCTGCCTACTTCGTCTCAGGGATAAGGAGTCTAGTTAGAGGTTGTGTTGAAATCGTACGTTGATAGCGAACCTCATGAAGAGCGCACTAGTGAGCTGAAACAATCCAGCGCCGTGGTGAGGTCGTAGAGATCGGGGCTTCTCCGCGGCCTTCATCAGCGCTTGCATTTCGTAAGCATATTGTGACGCTGCATACTGCAAAAAAGAAGAAGTGCGAACATGTCACTTCTTGGAAATGAAAAAGAAAACCTCATCGCAAATCTTGTTCGTCCTATTCTTGCACTCTTCCTCTTTGTCAGGCCATATAGCCAGAATCTGAAGTTTTCCAGATGATAACGATGGAAAAAAGAATGTGTATTGTTGCACCAGCAAGGCGTGTCACACTTAACTTTTATCCCCCTAACAATTCAGTTATGTTCATGAGTTTTGGGCGTACTATGTTCCAAAGTATCAAATATAACAAGTAGATCTCACGTTTCCGGATACATTTGTTGATAGGATTTTCTACCGAGAAAAAAAAGGGTGCACAACTTGAGAGTTCGCGCAAAATAAAAAGTAGGGTAAATTAGAAAAGGAAACGGTCAAGACAATCGTAATTTGCAGCGCCGTCGTGCGCGGCGGTGGGAGCAGCGTTCTCTTCATTTGCATTAGCTCTTCGTTTGGAGCACCAAATTATACGCAGACTTTAACATCATCGACATTTATGGCTATTGTCGGCTATACATTGCCTATTATCTCCTTCTATAATACTACCTAGAAACACCGCTATTCGCAGGCGCGACGTCGCGCGCGATGCCCATTAGTGCGGTGCGTTACGGTTGTCCTGTCACATGCTCAGTTAGAGTAGGGTTACTTGGATAGTTAAGGACACCTTTGTGCTTGAAAGTAATGGAGTAAATTGAGTATGAGTGTGTGAAGTCATACAGCCAACTAACTCGCAACATACAATTGGAGAAAGGTCCTCTCAGAATGCCCCAAATAAGGACGAAATTCAGTATTCAACAGGCATGTGCTGACTGAAAAATGTGCATGTGAGGTCACGTAGCCGCACATGCAAAGATTAAAACATCGCTCGCTAGTCACACAGCAGATGTCAGAAGGAGAGGATCACCGAGTCCATAGCGCGAGTCGCAGCAAGAGTGGGACGTTAGTACCAGGATGTGAGATAGGGTATGGACAGGTACATTACTGGTGGGTGACAGAAAGTGCTAACAGCTGATAGGGTCTCATGAAGGGAGATACTGCAAGAAGTTCACTAAATGTCCCCGAATTACAGTAAGAATACTCAGGTATGAGCAAAAGACTTGCCTTCAAAGAGACTCGAGCCGCATCTCACGTTTTCCGAGCGAGTGCTCTGCCCCATTACACGTTTGTTAGTACCGCTAACCTTATACGACAGCTCCCTTGTCTTTCGTTTTTCACATGCAAAAAACTGGTGGAGGGCCTTCACTCTTCGCCGCGATGTAAGACTTTTACAAGTTAATGCATCACTTGTAAGAGCCTCCCAGCTCTTTTCGACACATAGCAGCCTACACAATACGGTTTTCGCTAGTATTCCTTTGTTATTCGACTGAAGCTGCTCGAACAACCTGTACATGTGTACAACCTTCTGGAGACTGCTCAAACCCTTGTTATGTTCCACGGGACTCTGTCTCCATGCTTGCACATAATCATTATGCAGCTTGAGACCAACTGAGTTCATCCGACATTCACGAAATTCTGTATAGTCCCTTTCAAATGACTGGGTACGAAATGTTACATCCAGATTGCGGCGACGTGTGCAGTACAGCAGAGCACTTCCTAGCCCGCAGCCCGACTATTGTATTTTGTCCATTCCACTTAAAGACACATGGTACGCTCACACACATTGAGGGTGTATGTGACTATCAGCCCCCAGCTGTCGATGTGTCGTGGTTTCCCCGCCCGAAACTGCACGGGGTTAGAGTACAGGGCCGTGGGAAAGTCTAATTCGTCCATGCTCCGCCTACCGTTTTCGCGCGGCGCGTGTCGCGCGCAGCTCTCTTGGCTTTTTGCCAAGTCCTGTAATTGCGCTTTGGAATACAAGTAAAACGCAATTTCCTGATGCGGATAACATTTTAGGTGCTGCAAAATAAGAACCGAAGATGATGAGGGCCAGAACTCAAGAGCAACTGTGCTGCTTCTGCAATATCCCTCGGAGGCCGCGCATTTCCACAAACATGAAAATAAAAACGGCCTAAGCGTCCCACTCGTTAGTTTAAAGTATTTCTATGGCTTTGGAGCCGAATTCGCGCCGGATCGCAGAAATTTACACGCGATTTTAATTAATTTGCGTTTCCTTGAATTTTTCATTTTTGTTTTATTTACATCTACATTCATTTCTAGCCTTTGTCATCTTCATCACCTTCTATTCGGACTTTGAAGCATGAGCAACACCTCAAATGTTATTCGCATCAGGAAATTGCGTTTTGCTTGTATTAAACTAACGAGTGGGCCGTTTTTATTGTCATGTTCTGTGGGAATGCGCGGCCTCTGAGGGATATTGCAGAAGCAGCACAGTTGCTCTTGAGTTCTAGCCCTCGTCATCATCTTCGGTTCTTATTTTGCAGCACCTAAAATGTTATCCGCATCAGGAAATTGCGTTTTACTTGTATTCCAAAGCGCAATTACAGGACTTGGCAAAAAGCCAAGAGAGCTGCGCGCGACACGCGCCGCGCGGAACGGCTGTTAGCATAAACGGTAGGCGGAGCATGGACGAGACTTTCCCACGGCCCTGTACTCTAACCCCGTGCAGTTTCGGGCGGGGAAACCACGACACATCGACAGCTGGGGGCTGATAGTCACATACACCCTCAATGTGTGTGAGCGTACCATGTGTCTTTAAATCAACGGTGGACGTGGCGCGAATGCCGCGCAGGCAATGCAATTTGCAATGGCTTTAGCTGTATCGCCGCAACACGGATGTAATGGACCACGCCCTTAGAATGCTTTCTTGGCATGAGTATGAAATTCGCGTTACGTCTGTGAAGTGATCCGCTGGATTGGTGTGGTCCGGAAGCATGAATCCGCACTTAGCGAAGAACGTAATCGCCTCATCTGGTGCGCCGTGAAATGCCACACGGCCTTGGGCGAGGAACACAACCTGAAGGGGTGGGGTAAAATTCCTCAGGGATTACTGTCAGTTCAGGTGTAACCAGCCTTATCGAACAATCTGAACACTTCCGATGAAGGTTGCTTGATGGTGCAAATAATTGTTTTTCCTCGATCACCAGCCAACGACTCCAGTCTCTGCAAATAAAATGTAAAGAAAATTTAGTTCTTCTGACGAAATTTCTGGCAGAGATATTGAGGGTCGCTTCATACGCGAGCTTGAGATAACCTGTAATCATCCAGTTTGATCTCATTGAACTTCTTATGCTTATTTCTTAGTTAAGCGTTTCTCTCCAAGTTCCCATTTTAACTCCTCTCTGAGAAACCTCCAAGTTCCCATTTCAACTCCTCTCTGAGAAAACATCACTGAATTTCTACTCGTACTCAGGTTGGCAGCCGATAAATCCCCAGAAGACGACTACGATATATTATGCGCCGGCAGGAGGAATTCGCGCGCCCTGTGGAGGCGGCGGCGTAGTAGCCCCTTTCCGAAGAAAGCCCTTTATATCGGCCCTATCAAGCTACAACATACCGACCCGGGGCCCACCGCGCCCACCCGCAAACAAATGGACGATCTCACCTGATGCTCGTGGTGCTTCATTTGAGAAGTAAAACATGAAACGAAGGTGATGTGAAGCGCGTGGTTGCATGAATATATGAGCATATTCCTGCAGCCGACCAACCGCAGCGGCCACTGACCCGATGGCTACGGGGAACTCGTCCGAAATTACTTTCTGAGTCACAAGTTACCCGTTTTCTAGGAGCTCCATGGGCAGGTGCAAGCCTTGTATAATGCTCATATTTCTTTATCCAACCACCCCCACTACTGGTCAGACAAGGGCACTGAGACTCATAGCCGAAAACGCCGGTTGGCTTGAGCAGAATAAGCACCTAGAGGGATCCGGTTTCGAGGAGAAAAGCCGCTTACTGTGACCACGAGCTCGGCCATGTAGGAATCCAAACCACTGGTGGGCTCATCACAAAACAGTATCGGTGGGTTACTGAGCATCTCCGATGCGAATGCGAGTCGCTTCATTTCGCCTCCTGAAAATTTTGGTTAACCTACATCAACTAGAAGAGTAGGTAAACATTCACCTGAGATCCCTTTAACGATACCTGGCACACCAATACGTGATGACTGCGACCCCTCGAGGAGCATGTCTTTCATCACCTGAAACGCAATGTACAAGGCAAGCTGCCCGCACTTGCAAAGACTTACTCCAGCGCACAAATTCGAACGCATACACAGCTGCTCATTGAAGAATTCTCCACATTACCTCTTCAACCCTGGCGATACGCATAGCCGTCGTGAAAGATGATGGCAACTTGATTCTTGCTTGAATCATAAGATGTTCTCGTACCTCAACGAAATACTCAGGGCACAGTTCCAAGTCAAACAGAAGACTACAATACTACCTGTTCTCCCATCATCCTACTATGTATAATCCGCTAAGTATGTCTGTCCGTGTGTGTGTGGAGTGATATAGAGGCTGTGACGGGAACATTATCAATGGGTGACAGGGAGTGATATCAGCTGATAAGATCTGATAAGAGGCGTCAGAAGGGGAGGGTCATCGAGTTCATAGTGCGGACCACAGCAACATCCTACTATGTATAATCCGCTAAGTATGTACACCCCTGCTGCAAATAGAAGCGTGTGCTCAGTCGTGCAAAATCCTAAGCCTTGCTCTATCTGCTGTGATTCAATCACTACAGCGCCGCCCTCCATCGTTGAAACGTTCCCTGAAACTTATGGAGCGCGGCTGTCGAAGCCAGGCCAGCTCGGCGAAGCCGAGCTAAAGAGAAGGAGGAGAGCTCGGCGACAGCCGAGCTATCTGACTTGTTTAGAATTAGTCAGCTCTCTCGAAAGAGGCAGCTCGTTCGCTAGCCGATGCTATTGCGGTTCGGGGTAGCAATGATTTTGCGGACGTCATCCCTTACAAGAATCCCTTACACTCCTTATCCATGAGATGGAGTGGGCATAACATTTGAGAATGACGTACAATGGGTTTTACTCGTGGGATATTTCACTTTGGAAACAGCTGTTATCTTGTTTATGTTGAACACACAGCATAACCACGATTGTCGAGATGAAAATACCTCCCCAAAGCACAGCCACCGCCACATCAAGTATGCAGCCACGCCTACCGCATCTCAGGGATTCGAGTGTCCGTGAAAAAACCTGTCATATGACAAGATCGCATTGGCAGGTCGATTACAATAAGGGCGTCAGGCATCGTCGAGACGTCGCAATGAACGCGAGTGGCCACAAGCGTATTGCATCCCTGCACCTCTTTTCTTTGCATGGGTAGAATTACGTTTGTGGCTGAAGCTTAAGTAGGAGAGCCAATTGCACACACTTCTTAAGTTTAATGAGTATTAATAGCTGAGAAAGAGAGTGGCACGTGAAAGTCGTGCAACCCGGCTGGTCAAATCCCGGACTTGTCTCCCGTTAACAGGCGACAACCAAGCTGGATGTAACACGTCGCTGACGATGAATTCATTCGTGTCGTTTTTACCCTGGTGACGAGAGAAATACCTGACAATTTTGTTACGGATGTGCGTCCGTGCATTGTCATAGGCACTATTCTGCATTCAATTAAGCCCCACTACAGCCGTACTGAATCTGAACGTAGGTCAAACGCTGGGTTCCAAGCGGGAAGGGGCATCTCTGATCGCTAGGAGGATGGGGATCGTGATTGGTTGTGAGAGAAAGTGTTAGCTGTAGTGGACTTTTCTATGTTTTCATGTTTCACGAGCGCTTATACCCTACACCCACCACCTCCTCCCCCCCCCTCGACGGGGGACTTTTTTTGGAAAAACAGTGGTAGGAAGCTGGGGAGCTCAGGAAAATGACATGAAACGGGGATGGTCTGTTTCTTTCCGACGGGAGGATACGTCTTGATCCCTTACTCAACTCAACAAAATGCAATGCATGACGCACCCCAAACAAGGACTGAAGTGTTTAACGGGTGAAGATTTTTTTCTTTTATCCTCTTTACCAGGTACTAGCGCCACCTTTCACTTCGCACATTTCTAAACTGAAGTGATGCACCAGGAAAAATATCACACTGAAGCTCGCTCATGTGGGTCCGGTCTGATATGGAGCCTGTGTGATGGGTACGGATGTCTCGTCAGGACGCACTGCAGAACACTCCTGAGGTGTATTGGAAAGTGGGACAAGTTGGCTTGTGCTTGACCCAAAATACTCATTTAGGCCACTGCAGTTTCTTGCTCGCAGTATAGTGCAAAAGCACGATGTTAACTGCAGAGATTTTGTGTCTTCTGTAGAATCAAGATGGCTTCTTTCCGAG